GTGCAGGATTTGACGACGAAGTCGCGCGTTTGGTGGATGAGAAACTCCCGAAAGGTGGTCCATGATGCGTCTGCAGTATGAATCGGACTGCTGGCGGGAGATAAATGTTGGCTCGTCATCCGAAAAGGGTTGCCTTATTGATGCTAGCGTATGAACTTTGGTAGATGTGGCGGTTGAGTTGTCACCAACGCTCATATGGGTAGTTGGAAGCGGGCAACGAGATAAAGCATCGGCGTCTTGATGTTTTCTGCCTGACTTGTAAGTTATGTCAAAGTCGTACTCCTGCAAGCGTAGTATCCACCGACCCAAGCGTCCGGACAAGTTCTTTAGTGTAGAAAGCCAGCATAAGGCATGGTGGTCCGTAACAATTGTGAAGTGACGGCCGTGGAGATAGGGACGGAACTTCTGGACCGACCAAACCACAGCCAAACACTCTTGCTCAGTTATAGTGTAGTTCTTTTCAGCAGCGGTGAGTACGCGACTGGCATATGCAACAACTTTCTCTAAGGAAGACTTGTCGCGTTGTAGAAGAACGGCTCCTATACCAAGGCCGCTAGCGTCGGTATGGAGGATAGTTGGTGCGGCTTCGTCAAAGTGGCAGAGCAGAGGTTCAGACGTGAGTGCCCGCTTCAACAGGTCGAATGCTGTTTGACATTCTTGAGACCACAGAAAGGGGACGTTGGAAGCAAGTAGTTGGTGTAATGGAGCAGCAATAGAAGCGAAGTTCTGGATAAACCGGCGAAAATAGGAGGCGAGGCCAAGAAAACTGCGAAGCTCCTTTGGTTTTTCGGGGCGCGGAAAGTGAAGGACTGCAGAAATCTTGTCAGGGTCGGGCCGGATGCCATCTTTGCTAACGACGTGTCCTAAGACCTTGATAGATTTGCTAGCGAAAGAGCATTTCTTCGTGTTTATTTGAAGCCCGGCGCCGGCAAGGCACGTCAAAACTTGATCCAATCGTTCTAGGTGCTCAGAAAACGTTGACGAAAAGATAATAATGTCGTCCAGGTAGCAAAGGCAACTTTTCCATTTCAGGCCGCGCAGCACGGTATCTATCATGCGCTCAAAAGTCGCGGGTGCGTTGCAGAGCCCGAAAGGCATCACGTTGAATTCATATAGCCCGTCGGGGGTTGCGAATGCCGTTTTCTCCTTGTCGTCTTCATGCATGGGGATCTGCCAGTACCCAGAACGCAAGTCGATGCTTGAAAATAATTCCGCGCCTTGTAGGGAATCAAGGGCGTCGTCAATGCGTGGCATAGGGTACACGTCCTTGCGTGTGATCTTATTGAGCGCCTGGTAGTCCACGCAAAAACGCACAGAGCCATCCTTTTTGCGGACCAATACTATAGGAGACGACCAAGGGCTAGATGAAGGACGGATGACTTCCCGTTTAAGCATGTCCGCAACGTTTTCTTCTATAATTTTTCTTTCAGTTAGAGACACGCGGTAGGGTCGGCGGTGTACAATAGATGTCCCAACAGTTTGAATTCGATGTGCTGTAGTATTAGTGCGGCCCAGCTTAGACGAGCAAATATCGAAAGAATTTGCATGTTTCTGTAACAATGCGAGCAGCTGCTGCCTCTGTGAATATGTCAATTCGCTGCTGATAGTGGTGGTAAAGGCGGAGGAAGAAACATGCTCACCGAGGCAATGTTCTTTGAATGCGATGGCCTGAAGTGGCGTGACGAGTACAGGCTCGAAGTCAGCAACACGGGCCACAGTAGTGCCCTGTGGCAGTAAGATCTTCTCCGGTGTAGAGTTGACAGCGGTGACAAGTGCCGAGCCATTGCAAAAACGAACGACACCGGACGGAAGAACTATACCTTTGGGAACGCAAAGTGGTGACGGTGAGACCAATACATCCCCGTGATAGATGTCGTTGGACGTAATGCTGACAATTTGCTCTTGTAGTGGCGGGAGTTCGATGTCTTTCGCAGCGACCAGACGAAGTGGCTTCTGATTATCGTCGTCAAGCATGTAGTCGGTGTCAGCGAGGTGAACGACGCGTTGTCCACAACAAATCGCCGCGGAAGCAGATGATAGAAAATCCCACCCTAAAATTAGTTGGCGAGAGCAGCGGGACAGGACAGCAAACTGGACATGATGGCGGATGCCGTCGATGAAAACACGCACAGTACAAAACGCGGAAGGGCGAATGACGTTCCCCTGGGCAGCAACTAATGTGGGGCCATCGTAAGGCGTCATTACTTTCCTTAAATGTTCACACAAATCAGCACGTATGACAGACAATGTCGCACCTGTGTCCACCAAAGCATCGACTCGCACTCCTTCCACTTCCACAGAAACCATGTTACACGGGCCCGATGGAGGAATTTCAGTTCTAACTCCGAATGCAGTTTTTCCTCCACAAACTGCATCACTTAGTTTTCCGAATGAATTTCAGAGGTGAATGAGGCGGGCCGAAGTGGAGAAGTGGAACGGCGGAAAGGCGAAGGCGAGCGGCGTCTCGTGTTTCGGCTGTTTCGTGGTGCAGTCGATGCAGGAGGAGATGGAGAACGGTGCGGGGGAGACGAATAACGCCGACCTTGATAAGACGCCCCGGCGTACAAATTCCGTTCACGCACGTCGTTCCGACGCTCATCTTGCTGGCGCTTTCGGCAGAAACGAGATATGTGGCCGCGATAGCCATAGTAGTAGCAGACAGGGCGAGACGAGCGCGACGGTGGGGAATAGAAGGCATTCGGGGCACCTGTAGATGATAGCGCGGTCAGGTGGGCCGGAGGGTCAGGGGGTACGGAATAGTAGTTCACCGGGGGAGCGGCAGCAACTGACGCGTAGGATGGACGCAGCAATGTCGCGTGGGCGTCGCTGGGAGGCACGGCAGCAACTTGGGGGTACGTGGACACAGGTTGAGAAGCAGGTGGCTGTACGGGCGCAGAGCCAGTCAGGGATGTAAGTTCCTCCCTGATGATGTCACGTAAGGGCATTCCCGAAGGCTGTGTAGGTCGTGGTGTAGGAGGTGTGAAGCCCATGGACCGCAATTCTTCGCGTATAATGTCCCGGATGAGGTCACGCAGATTGCCATCTGATGTGGAGTGGTGGTCGCCGATGTCTGGTTGAAGGCGGACGGAGTCCAGCGCATCAAGGCGCTGGCATGTCGCCACGACATCAGCGATGGTAGCTGGGTTTTGCACAGCGAGGGCATTAAAGGCAACAGGCCCAATGCCTTTCAATATATGGCGCACTTTGTCCGATTCCGGCATGAATTTATTGACACGCCGGCAGAGTGCGAGGACATCCTCGATGTATGAAGTATACGATTCACCGGGATGTTGTCGGCGAGTATCGAGTGTCCTCTTCGCGACGGCGGATCGAATGTCTGGTGTCCCAAAGACGTGCCGCAGCTGCTGCTGGAAGGTAGCCCAGTCGGGTAAGTCAACGACGTGGTTAAAATACCATGTCTTCGCGACTCCGACCAGATAAAAAGGCACGTAACGCAGTTTGGCGGCCTCGTCCCACCTATTAGCGGCACTTACGCGGTCGTAGTCATCAAGCCAGTCTTCTACGTCTTCTCCCCGAAGACCAGCGAAGAGCGGGGGTTCCCGCTGATGTCCGTGTATGTAAGTAGGAGGGGCAGCTTGCGGCGGTGCGGGGTTGATGACATCAGTGCCGGCAGGCTCGGTCTGGGACATGCTGCCTGATTGTGGGCGCAAGCGGCGGCCTGAACGAAGCTCCAGGGGGTATAGCGGGCTGCGGGAGGTCAGAGGACCGAAAATCCACCTCCACCACGTATGAAGTCTTCGTAGTCTTGGCTGCGACAGCGTTTAATTGAGGAAAGACCTCGCAAAACGAACGGGCAGAGCCAGCACACAGACGATGACGATGATGATGACCCAGAGTGGCAATGAGGGCAAAGGGACAAGCAGATGATGGTGATTGTGATTATGCAGGGATGAGGACGATGTAAGTTACAAATGCCCACAATATATATATATATATATATATATATATATATATATATATATATATATATATATATATACTTGGCAGCAATCGAGAGCAATTTCTAGCCAACCTAAGTTTGATCATTTATTCTTAATTGAAAAATACGTATACATATATGGTGAGTGACGGTGACACCAATGTCAACTTCAACGCTTACTGCGGCGGCAAAATCTAGCCAAGAGTGTCCATACAATTGCTATCGCAATAAAACACTACTGACACAATGGTATGAAAAACCGAGTCTGCGGTATGTGAGCCCAGCATTCTACCGCTCAGCTGGGCCAGTGCTTTGAACGTGACTCTGAACGGGCTTTAGGCGGGCTTGATGTCGGGAAATAAATCACGTAATAGGAGTACTAAACCATTTTAGAACTTCAAAAGAACAGCCAGGCGTCATAGAGTGTGAATTGCGTAAAGAGTGGGTCTTCGAATGCTCCAACTCATTAGAAAATTTCCTTTCGATCACCTATTAACTGTGGCGCATACCCACTTCAGACATAATTCTTTATCGTCGTCAGCCACTGCATAAACTTATTGCACAAAACTCGTAACATGTGTGTAGCAGATACCACGCTTCTCTAAAGAATGATGAAGGATACCATGTATAGTGAATTCTGGCTTACTGTAAAAAATTGTGAATATTTATGGCGCAGCAGAGATATTGTACCAGTTACCCAAGGAGTGTTTAGAAAAGGTTGTGAAAGGACGCTCGTCTAGCTTTCGCTGCAACAGTGCCGTGCGTTCTGCGCAGGCCTGGCTTGTTTTTTTTTTCGCAATCTCATCACGTCACTTAACACATAACAATGCTCTAAAATCATTCTCAACCCGTCATTTTAATTTAAAAAATTCACAATCACAGTACCAAAGGTACTAGAGATTTGTCATCATTTCCTATAAATTTCAAAGACACTTAAGCATTAACTATTGTTATTCGCGCCTTGCTCGCAATAACACTCCGTAAAATGCTTCATTATTGCGTTGTGGCGTAAATACGCCGTTATTAGGTATAAAAAATTCAATGACACTTACCAGGGAGACTTCCCTCATCTCTTAAAGATACGGTGATCTCTGCGGGATTTGGTGGAGAGGTATACTGATCCAGAGTAACAGTGACGTTAAAGTGGTCGAACCATCCTGACATATTAGTAACTGTTCCTGTGTAGTTGGCGTACCAGCCCACAACTGAAATGTAGTACTTTTTTCCACCCCCAACACAACTTGCGTGCTTCGCTTCCGCGTTGACAGTATGCAATGTTCCATTTGTCAAGTTAAAAGTATACCAGCGTTCGGCTGGAGAGGACCCCACAGATATATTGAAACGATGATCACTCAGCCTCATTTTCGCATTCTTATTGAAGATTTCGCATGTTTCGTGGGCACCTGCTGTAAAATAAGCAAAAAACAAAAAAGTTACAGCAAGAGCTCCTTCAAATAGAACTTATCTATATATTTTCACAAAAGCTCAGTACGAGAATAGCATGTCGAGTCAGATTTTTGTAAAAATGAGAGGAGGTGTACACTTCATGGGAGAGAAAAACTGTCATGGACTAGTTTTGTGCAAACCGACTGATTAAAGTGATGGCGACTGCTGAGAAAAACGTGCTTTTGAGAAGAAAAGTTTATCCGGACATACAATTCAAACCCGGCATGATCGCTGTTTAGCGCCGGTCGTTAAACTGCCAAATCCATTGAAAAGCTAGCAGATCCTCGCGTAACTAAAAATGCTTCGAGAGTTTTAAGCACGGAAACACTGTGAATTGGGGATTATAATTTACTTTGTTGCATAGTTCTACAAATATGAGAATGAAAATGTGTCAGTTTTATATTATCCCACAAGGATAAATCACACACGTGTTGGGGTTTGAGTGGTCTTGCTATTTCGCTTCATTTCACTTTTTCACTTTGGTACCTTGAAGACCGAGGTTAGGAATTAATACATAAAGGATGGATTGATAAATGTGGGTTAGAAAGAGTGATCTTCATGGCGAAGCGTATGCATTTATGTAGCGCTCAAAGTAGACGAACACGTGATGGCTGCATAGTAATGCGGGAGGCCGTTCCATTCCACTGCGGCGCCAAAAAAAAAAAAGGCTGCAAAGTAGTTGTGCGAGTACGTGCTTGTGACTGAGTAAAGATGGGCGACGCGAAGTGATTCGCCCATCAATCGAATGATGTGAGGTGCTTGAGTTAGGAAACTGTGATAAGATTTGGGAAGTAAACAAAGACAGGTGATGCGATGAGGTACAGGAAGAATGACAAGATCAATTTCACGTTTTAAGGTAATATATTTATGTCGTATCAATATAAGTAATGAATAAACATAGTGGCACGATTTTGTACAGATTCAAGATCGTTTATTATGTATACCAGGTGTGGGCTCTAGATGGTTGTTGCCTATTCTAGTGAGAAATTAGTGCGCGAGAACTTTTATGTTTAGTGGTACATGAAGTAAATGACGCTTTAGAAAACCGAAGGATATGTTCGCGGATGATCTAATATCTTGTTTATATACATGTTCCAGGAAAGTTTAAATGATAAGGTGCCGCCTAGGTATTTATATGGTGAAAATTGTTTAACAGTGAAATTATATCGGTATGAGAATGATAAAGGGTTTCGCTGGCGTTGAAATAAAATAGGTTTGCGTGTGTTGGGAATAACCTTAATTCACCAAAGATTGCACTACTGTTGTAGACGATTAAGGTCCAGCTGGAATTCAGTACTGTTTGGTCAGAATTTTTAGTGCGATGCTCTGTGATAGATGACACAGTATGCGGCAAATAAATGGATACTGGAAGATATGAATGTGGAAAGAGGGGTGTGAGTACAGATCTTTGGAGGACGCCGGATGTAACTGGGAGGAAACTAGAATAAGAAATGCTCCAATTTAGGCACTGTCCCTGTAAAACCTCATGTTCCCCATTGCGCAGTCGGAGGTGAAAACAAAAGGAAAGTTCACTTGAAATCGGGAGATTCTGGGGCCGTGTAGGTGGTCCCTGATCATTGATGTTCTCCGTCGGGGACAGCACAAGTCTGAGCCGCCGCTCTCGTCCTTTAGACTTGGACCTGTTGGGCTTGCTGTCTAAAACCGTCGGGAAGTTTCTCAGTCGAGCAGCTCTCATGGTTATCGCATGAGAAACAGGGAAAATGAAAGACAAGTGTTTGGTGTTCATGCCAACAACACGTCGGAAAAGAAAAAAAACCAGGCCTGCATGGAACGCGCAGCGCTTTCACAGCGAATGATAGAAGAGCGGCCTCTCAGAGCCTTTTCTAAACTCTTTTTCGGTAACTGCTACAAGCACACTGCTAGGTACCCACAATACGCCATAAATAATCGTAACTTTTGTGTAGTAGGCCAGCATCCACTAAACTATCCTTCATCATTTTTTGGAGAAGCGTGGTGTGCGCTACACACTTATTAGGAATTTTGCGCAATTTTCGATGCAGTGGCTGACGAAGATGAATAATTAAACCTGAAACGTCTATGAGCCACAGTTAGTAGGTGATCAAGAACAGCTTTTCTAATGTGTCAGAGCAGTAGACGACGCATTCGTTGTGCAATTCTCATTTTCTGATGCTTGGCTGTTCCTGTGATGATCTAAAACTTTTTATTGCTCATATTAACGCGATTTCTTTCCATACAGCAAACCTGCCTAAGGCCAGTTTGGAAACGAGTTCCAAGCACTGGCATGGCTCCGTGGTAGAATGCTGCGCTGGCACGCAGGGAGCCCGGGTATCTATCCCATTATGTCATCGGGGTTTTTATTGACTAAGTTTTTTCTTCGTCCGATGCTAGTTACAGACACGATCACCGGCGACGGCGGACAACTACGGCGCCGCGCGCGATCCGTGTTCTTATCTCATAACAGTTTTCGCTGTAAAAAAGGTCTGGGGTGCGGCCTCACTGGCGACCACCTGCCTACAATGCACTTCCTCACAAAAGCAGTATTGGCCAGCCTAGTTCAGTACTTGGCCACTGCCTCTCACAATAACGCACATATTAAGTGTCGACCATCCGTCTCCAGCGTCTGCGAAGCAACTATCAAAGGCGGCGGTCATGCCTGCAATGCAGCGGAGCGTGCTAAGAATCGCTAGGTATGGACAAGCTGCCATACGAATTTGAACTCGGCTATGTTTAACGCTAGAGCAGTATATTGTAAGGCTATTGTCTAGCTGTGCTATTTGAGGAATTCGATAATAATAAATGGGATGCAATAGGGCTCAGCCGAGTTAGGACGACACCTGAGTGGTCTACAGTGCTGAAGAACAGAAACGCCTTAAACTAACGTGTATTAGTTGAAATAACTAGGTGGGGGGTTTCTGATGCACAGGAACAACGCAGGAAAAACAAAGTATTACTCTAGCATCAGTCGGAGGATCGCAAATATGGTAATTAGGTTTAACAAACGGTACAAGATGAGGGTCGTACAGGCCTACGCGCCTACATTGAGTCCTAATCATCATTTTGTTGAACGCTTCTATGAAGGCGTCAAATCAGGAATTACCAAAGTAAGGACACAGTGTACGTGCTATACTTATGGGTTACTTTAATGCCAACGTAGGCAAGAAACAGGCCGGAGACCATGCACTGGGGGAGTATGGCAGCAGCTCTATAGAAATGTCACACGGGAGTTGTTAGTAGAGTTCGCTGAACGTAACAATTTACGAATCTCCAATACCTTTACAGAAAACGGGCCAGCCACAAGAGGACGTCGCGCAGTCATCATGGCGAAATAAAATGAAATATAAAATTTTTGTCCATCGAAACTAAAATAATAAATATACCCCATTTTATGTGCACACCCAGGCACACTGTACAGGATGTAGAAGTTGTTGGCAAGACCCGATGCAGAGACAATAGAATGGCGAGAGCTCGTATACACCTGGATTTAAAACAGCAAAGACAACTACTGATACGCAAGAAGTCAAATAATAAACTGGCGGTGAGAGGAAATATACAGGAATTCAGAGTTTCGCTTCAGAATAGATTCGCAGCTCTAAACGAGGCAACCGACGTTAGCGTTGATGCAATGAACGTTAATCTTAATAGCATTGTCGAAGAGGGTGCTATGGAAATCGGAAGCACAGTCACTAAATAGGACACCGGCAAAATAATCCAGGAGACGCAAAATCTCCTTGAGACCACAAGGCATGAAAGCCTCAAATGCAGCCTACAGTAGAGCTAGTCGACTTTTCGAAGTTAATCAATAGGTGTAACGTAGCCTACATCAGAAGGTAGAACATAGAAAGAATCGAGCAGGCTGTAAAAAGCGACAAAAGCCTAAAAGCTAAGAAGACAAACTTGTCATCAGGCAAAAATCAGATGCGTGCATCTAGGGACAAAGAAGACAATGTCACAAGCAATATATCTAGGACAGTCGTGGTGGTGGAGCTGTCCTGCAGGGAGCTATACAGAAGCCGAAACAACCAGGATGAAGTAAGAATCATTTATAGCCTATTGATAGCCTATATCGCAAGAAGCATTGATAGCCTACAAAAATTTGACAATATATCATTAACGAAAAAAGAATTAATGAAAGCCCTAAAAGAAATACAAAGAGGCAAAGCTGCTGGTGAAGATAAGGTAACAATGGTCCTGCTGAAATGGGGCGAAAAAATTCTGTCAGAAAAGTTGGCTGTTTTACATACAAAGTGTCTGTTCACGGGAAGGGTACCAGAGTCTTGGAAGAACGCCAACATCATCTTAATTCAAAAGAAAGACACTTCAAGAACTTCGAAAAAATTACTGGCCGGTCAGCTTAACCCGCCATGATGTGGCTACGGCACTAAGCTGCTGACCCGCAGGTCACGGAATTGAATCCTGGCCGTGGCGGCTGCATTTTCGATGGAGGCGACATTGCTTGAGGCCCGTGTGTTCAGATTTAGGTGCTCGTTAAAGAACCCCAGGTGGTCGAAATTTCCTAAGCTCTCCACTACGGCGTCTCTCATAAGCATAAGGTGGTTTTGAGATGCTAACTCCAATAATTATCAGACCGATCAGCTTACCGTCCGTTCGCTACAAACTATTTACAAAACAAACAGATAATTGAATCGGGGCGACATTAGAGTTCAATAAACTAAATGACCATGCAGAATTTCGTACAGTCTACTTGATATTGTCGCGTGAAGAAACGACACAGGGCTCGAGACGCAAGGAATGGCTGTTTACTTTCAGCCACAGCAACCGCCTGTTTCTTCCTTCTCAACCTGTATTGCCACAAGCGCGTGGCATTACAAAAATTCAAGCTGAGCCAAGAAAGTTTGCGACGACTTGAATAGTAAAGGGAAACGACAAAAAGAGACACTATGGGCTCGACTGCAGGTGCGCCACCCCAAACGTTGTAGGTTGCAGTCGGAGCGGTTTCATCCTGGCAACATGAACCACATCGGATGAATGTGGTAGACGAGAGCCGCGTGATGTTTCCGTTGGCGCAACTTCGTAGATGACTTTGCCAATGTGATGCGGAACGCGGCAGAATCCCAAATACCCGCGCAACAATATTTCTGAGCGGCTTCGTCATCGTATTGCCGTCGAAAAACAGACCAGATCACCCGTGTTTTGCGCCCCCGCTCTGTGATGGCGAGAATCTTGGTCATGACGATACAAAATGCGTTCGTTACGCTTAACGAAGACTTTTGTTTCCTGAGAGGTGATGGCAGACGGAGTCGGCCGGAGCATTACGTCAAGCATCATAGTGACATTGTGGCCATAAACGAGACAATAGCAGATGCAAATACGGTGGTTTTCTAGAGATCCGTGTTGTAGTAAAATCTTACGTATGGTAGAACTTCGTCCAAATGCTTCTGGTCCAAGACTACATACATCGAAAGCATATTGGCAATTGTTCCACTGAGGCCCTCGTTTAACTCAATGTTCTGCGGGTGGTACGCTGTAGCAGTTCGGTGTGTGGTGTACCACTTAGCTGCAAGATATCACGGAGCGACTGCGCCGTGTAGGCTGTAACATAATCTGTGATAACAGGTCGGGCATCATAGCGGAGAACGACGTCTCTTATGAAGTCGTTGGCGTCATCGAAAGGAGTACTAATATTCATGCAATCAATCGAGTGATAGAGATACGCGCGGAATGCAACCAAACCCTATACATAGCTTTCATAGATTGTGTGAAGGTGTTTGACTCAATCGAGACATCAGCCGTGATGCAGCCACTGCGTAATTAGGGCAGCGACGAATCCTACGTAAACACACTCAAAGAAATCTGCAGTGGATCCACAGCCACCATAGCCTTCCATAATGAAACTGACAGAATTCGAAAAAAGAAGGGTCTAAGGCAGGGAGACTCGATCTCTCCAATGCTGTTCACCTCGTGTTTACAGAAGGTTTTCAGGGCCCTATATTGGGAGCAGTTAGAGATAAGAGTTAATGGAGAGTATCTGAGTAACCTGCGATTCACTGACAACATTGCATTGACGAGTAAGTCAAAGGACAAAACTGAACACGGAAAGCAGAAGCGTAGGTCTGAAAATTAGTATGCACAAACCTAAAGTATTGTGCAACAGTCTCGCCAGGAAACAGTGCTTTGCGATAGATAGAGATGTGCTGGAACTTGTAGAGGAATATGTCTACTTAAGACAGGTACTAACCGCGGAGCCGAACCACGAGATTGAAATACCTAGAAGAATAAGAATTTGGTGGAGCACATTCGGCAAGCACTCTCTATTCATATCTGTTAGATTGCCACAATCCCTTAAGAGGAAGGTATATAACAACTGCATCTTGCCGGAACTTACCTACGGAGCATAAACATGGAGGCTGAAAAAAAAGCTTCAGCTTAAATTGAGGACGACGTAGCCAGCGATGGAAACGAAAATGATGTGTGTAACCTTAAAAGACAAGAAGAGAGCCGAGTGGATCGGGGAACGAACCGAGGTCAAGGATATCATAGTTGAAATGAAGGAAAAAAAATAGACATGGGCCGGGCACGTGGCGCGTAGGCAGGATAACCACTGGTCGTTAGGGGAGCTGACAGGATTTCCAGAGAAGGCAAATGCACGAGGGGGGGGGGCAGAAAGTTGGGTTGGCCGATTTGATTAAAAAATTCGCAGGTATAACGTGGCAGCAGAAAGCACAAGACCGGGTTGATTGACGGATCATGGGAAAGGCCTTTTCCCTGCAGTGGGCGCAATCAAAGTGGTGATGATGATGATGATGATGATGATGATGATGATGGTGGTGGTGGTGGTGGTGGTGATGATGATGATGATGACGTGGTACGCTTCTCGTCGCTATCCGCCTTGTCGGAAATAAACAAGAAAAAAGAAGTCCGCGCATGTGGCGCGTTCACGAAGTATGATTTTAGGGCGTATGCTGCAAAGGAAACTGTAGTGTCCCTAACCTTATTGTTCTAGTAGTAAATACTCAAAAGCAAAAAAGCAGCCAGTTAAAATAAGGAAACCTATCTACCGACACCAAAGAAAACAAAACGTCCACACAGTTCAAAAGGTTCGCTTGTGACTGATGTGCCTCGCTGTCCGCTGGGCTCTCCTCGAAACACACACAACTACTAACATAGTTGTCCATATCCCCCATCCTATAGCGCAGTTTGGAAAAGCGAATTTTAACGGTTTAATCCACACGTGCCTTCGACGCTCCAAGGTTACCTACACCGGGGTCGTATGCTTGACGTATGGCTCATCCCAGAACTTGAAGCAACGCAAAAAGCTGTCTGCGAAAGAGCCATAATTTGTCGACACTAGCCAAGGCGCGAAGCCGGGATTTTATTCGGTTTTGAAAAGTCACTACAGCAAATTTTACGTGCAATGTGATAGTATGCAATCTTTATTTATCTTGAAACCAGCCAACTGAAAAGAAATACAGTGAAAACTCTCGCCATCTGACATGTGCACTCCTAAAACACTCCTAGTTTTTAATGTGCAGGATAAGCTATCTCCAAATTATTCTGTGAAATTTGCGGCATCTTTTTTTTTACTTGCGTTCAGTAGTTCCTCAATACTTCAACATTTCATTGAGGTTGTCATATCAGAAGCAGTGTCAACTTGCGTGTGTTATTGCAGACAACTGAAAACCACCACGGTTGGGATGAAATTAATGTCCTCGTGGAAAAACTTAAGCAGCACACGCCAGTCAACTTGAGGTCTTCAGTGCAGTTTCGTGGTGTTGCGCCTAAATGCTGCTTATAAAGAAAGATATTTGTTTCTTATACAGTGTGCGAAAGGTAGAAAAACAAAAATTACCATGCATGGTGATGGCGGTGGACATTAGCAGAGCTGGAATGAAATAAATACATTACATTTAAGAACATTATTTTGCGAATGGCAAGGATCGAATCAAGTAAGCGCTAACTGCACAGACATTACATTATTTACTTCTTCGTTTTGGAGCTGACAAAGTAAATAGAAAGAGTTAAGGGGAGAGAGAGTCACGTATTCTGCAACAAAGCATGGTTCGAGAAAAAAGTTGTTTAGTTAAAAAAGAAAAATATACTTGATAATAGTTTCCTTAAATATAGCTGTGTGTACATGCATGAGTACTTATTTAACGATGGACATTGTTGGTATTTAGTAAAAGTTTCTTGCCACAATATATTTACAACCTGGAATGGTGAACTTATTTAACCACTGCTGACAGCGTGTGCCCTTTAGGAATACGAGTGTGTTTACATCTATATCTTATTCCACCTGTTTATGACACTGTTTTTCAACGATGAGGGTTGAGATGAGAAATTCTGTTATTACATTAGGCTATCTTAGCCTGCGCTTCAGTGCATTCTCTCAGTGCGATCAACTGTAAAAACAGCACTAGAATAGAAAAAAAAGGTCCCACTTCCAAGAAGGTTTCGGAAGCCGAACAGCGCTTGGCCCTTTCTTTCTTTTTGGCCCTTGTGTCACTTTCTTTTCGTCCTTTTCTTCAGTCCGCATGCACAAACAAGAAACACTACAAGTGCCGCAGAATTCGCTTTCGAGACAGCCAATTTCAATGCAAAGGTGGGGCGCCATACACCGTGAACCACATATTCCGCGTGATTTGTTCCACAAATTAAATTTATTTGAAGGGCAACCTAGCCACAGATAATCAAGCAAATATGAGTCGTCAAGGACAAAGTTTTGTTAGGTGGTTGCTCGATTTTGTATGAGAATTTATTGGTAAAAAATGCTCAGTATAGGCATTGAACATGCACGAACAACCACACACGACAGAGAGCAGATGCCTTATTCCTACACGTTGAGAATATTTTTAATATTGTCTCACTACAAAGTTCTGGAAGCGTGACACTCTATTAAGCGAGTGAAACAAATTTATTAGGTCCACAATAAACGCGAGTCAACTGAACGTCACCTGGCAAGACCCGCTCGGGGATGGTCAGGTTCAACATGGCATAGTGGAAATTAGTTGATGCTTGAATAGACCCTCCCTTTAAAAGCATGTTCACTACTTTCGAAGTTGTAAACTTTTTGCGAGACACCTTACGTTACATTAGGAGTACCCAATGTGTTTGACTCAGCGCCACGTTAAGATCAGCTACGTTGTTTGGAGTAACAGAGAGCTGTTATAGTAGTTAGTGTTCATTCTTACAGATTGAGCGAGCAAACACGAAGCCCCACCGTGGTGGCCTAGTGGCTAAGGTACTCGGCTGCTGACCCGCTCGTCGCAGGATTGCATCCCGGCTGCGGCGGATCCATTTCCGATGGAGGCGGAAATGTTGTAGACCTGTGTGCTCAGACTTGGGTGCACGTTAAAGAACACCAAGTGGTTGAAATTTCCGGAGCCCTCCATTACGGCGTCTCTCATGATCATATGGTGGTTTTGGGACGTTAAGCCCCACATATCACTCAATCAATCGAGCGAACACGAAGTCGAGAAACAAGCAGGAAACAACAAATGCCTATTAACAACTGCAAATGCGCTCAATGAATAAATAAAGGAGGCTAGAAAACTTAGCGGCACATGCGCGTGCAATAGGCAAAGCTGTGAATCAGCAATCGAGGGGGTGCACGCAAAAAAAACTGCGTCTACTTTCCTCTCCGTAGTCGTGGGCTCCATTCATTCAAAATGTGACTTTTCTCACGTGCAATTTTTTTTAATGCGAAGCATTTCTTAGCAAACTTCGGCGACTTTGAGCATATCTATTTATCTATCTAGCCGCTTACGTGTGGGTGCTCTCGTGATCACCCCCTTAACTTGGAGTGAACCAAAATTATTATGGAAGGGCAGGATGGTTTGACGAAGATGATGCGCTGCTCAAGATCTCAATAATGTCACAATCCTATCACGTACGTCGTCAAACACGTCCTGCCAGACGGGGGCACATACCCATGGGCGGGTATGTGCCACCTAAAATGCACTAAATCAGAAGATAGTGCACAACACAACCGCTGATTGTGGCATACGCTGAACGTGATGAGTGTGTTCCAACTAGCCCAAGCGGCTACTTTACATCTGTTTAACAAGGTTGAACCTGCAGTCAATCGAGCAGAGACTTTTTCTAAAGAACGTTCCCACGTAAAACCACTGCGCACGCTCCGCTGAGGCTATGCTACACGAGTAGACGAGCAGCTCGCTCCGTAAAATTGCTGGCTCCTCCAACGTGCTGCGCAAGCGCAGTTTTTGTCTCCACTCGATCGCTGGGCCCACTGGCCCGCTGAACCGCTCGGCTATTACTCTCTAATCTCACAAGTTCGTCTCATCCGTCGTCAAACGTTTTAAGCCAAATAGTGACCCATACCCGCGGGTTGGTATGTCATGGTCAAGTTATATAGGTCGCGAAACTTGGAACGAAAAAAGTCAGAAAACTTTTGCCACCGGCAACAACGCCCGCCCACGCTAGAAGCACAACTAGGAGAAGAGGGGACAAACAACCAAAACTAAAAAAAATTCAATGTATTTTTTTCTTCAAATAGTTGTCATTGTATATATGTCAAAGTTAACTATAAACTTCGTGGTGTATCTCACACCTCGCGAAATGGTTGATTGCATTATTTTTTACGTCGAGTGCATTATATGAGGAGAGGGGCGTATCCAGGCAACCTGCTACCAGAGCTTTTGTTTAGTTCTGCGTGTTCTTTTGTTCGGCGCATTACCAGGTCAACGAGGCGTCACTCACTTAGCGGTGGTGGTTCCGTGCGTACCTTCGGTAGTTTACGTACTTTTATGTGCTGCTTACAGGCGTGACATATCAGAACTGAACTATCTTACAGAATGTGTATGTAGCCGGCCATGTGACTACCAACTGCTTTCCTTGGCGCACGGTCGGCGTGCCCTCGCCTTTGGTGACGGTGAATGCGACTCGCTAAGCAACGCGACGATGTACTCTACTACTGCCAAAGTTATATTATCAAAGCTATTGTCTCGTTGCAGTATATTTCGGTGATTGGGCAACGTGAGATTACGAGCTATATAAGCTATTGTGCTCATGAACAGTTGTATTACAATTGCCTCGGTGAAGTTTTTTGTGCGTTTTGTAAGTACGTCATTTGGCTAATAAACTACTTTCCTTCTTCAATCTTTGTGTTTTTGGGGGCGAAGCTCCTTAAGGAATGGGTCTGTTCACCCACCGATGTATGTAGTGGTAGTAGCAGTAGCTAGCCGCCCGCATACCAGTGGCAAATACCCACCCTCGGGCCCATATTTACAACTCCACATGTTATGAAAAACATAGCACGGTGTCATTATCACGCTCTCGGTGTTAACAACGCACTGGCAGCAAAACTGTGGTACATACTCTCGTTTAGTCCTTGGATTGTCTGCTGAATGGCGGTACTTTTATACGATGAATACATGATAAAAAGGAGCAAGATGGCTATATTTGAAGTGTTCACCATATGGACGGATGGACACACGGATGGACAGACATACAAGCAAACGGACAGACAGACAGGCACATGGAAGGACTCAGGGATGCACGCATGAACGGGCGCACGTACGGATGGACTGACGCATGGATGGACGGACGCACCAACGGGCGCACGTATCGACGGATGAGCGCACGGACAGAAGCACGGATGAATTGATGGACGCTTCGCCCCACACGTCATCATTCATTCCATGGATATGCTTTGATTTTTTTTTTGTTTCTTCCATGTGCATTTAGTGAGACGCGAAGTGTAATAAAATCGAGAATAAGAAACAGCACCTAACAGGTAAGCTAATAAGAAAACTTTCCATTTTGCACCATGTCGGGCAACTGCACGACGTCGCTACCGCTTCTGATTGCGACGTCATATTTTATCTTTTATTTGTGTTCTCTCTTAATTTAACCCTTCTCACGTAAATGGAGACGGTGGCAACGAGCCGCCGGCTACTGGATTCATGGGTTTCTACGGAATTTACGGTACGAGTTTACATATGCCGTGGGTATGTGCCACAGATTACTGACTTTTCATATCTACCCACCAACGCCGAGAACGCATATGGGTAATTTTAATGCTTAGGGGTTAAGAAAAAGCTGACATCGGCTACGATGACCCGACGAACGTATAGAAACAATGTTAGGGTCCCAGGAGGAAACAAGCACCAGCATTCTGCGTGGCAACCAAGTATTCAACCACAGAGCCATGCTGGGTGTAGGTCTCGCAACTTATTTTCAAGTAGACCACAATGTTTCTGAAGCGTCCCTTGCAAATGCAGTCATAGCTATTTAATTTTATAAACATCACGTATGAACTCCTACGATACAGCCATCATGTCAGATTAACTGTAGTAAGCGCAATGCACTGAAGGTGTCCGATAGTGTATATAAATCAAGGAACGGCACGAACAGACATGGGTAAATTTATTTGTGGGCGTTAAAAAAATCAGCGCACTTCCACGACGTGAATGATGACGAGTGCACGAAGGTACAGGTCCTAAGGTTCATTATAAGTATGTTAAGTCGCTGACTAGTATAAATAACGGATGGGTGCACGTACGGGCGGACAGGTGGACGTGTGCACAGATGCATGCACGAAGGAATGCACAGATGGACAGATGGTTGGATGGACAGATGGGCGGATGGACAGATTGATGGATGGATTAGCGGACGAACAGACAGATGGTGCAAGTGATCATGTATTGTGTGGTTGTATAGGTCATTACACACAAAGTCGGTTGTTTACACACGTTTCCGTTTTTTTTTGTTGCTATTGTTGTGCGAATGTTTAGTTTTGGTTTTGTGGGGCGGGATGGACAGCAGCTAAGTCAGCCCTAAGGAGCTTTGCACCTAAACGCTAGAATCGGCAGTGTTAACCCATCTAATGCATAGAAATAAAAAAATTCGGCACATCGCACGTAC